AAAGAAAAGAAAAGAAAAGAAAAGAAAATTGTATTGGAGGGACTCAGTGTCTAAAACAACTCCAAGAGTGATCTAAGGCTTGTGATTGCTCAAGAAATAACTTTGAGTCCATAATATAGGTTGAGGAGTGCCCTGACTCCAAGGTGACTTAGGGAGCGATCCTATGTTTGAGGTTACTTGAAGAGTGAGTTGTTGTTCGAGTTACTTCGGGTGTTACCTAGAGTCCCAAATACTTGAACACAGCCCTAAGTTTGGGACGGCTCAAACTGTAACCCGAAATGTAAGATAGATTAGAATGAGACAAAATTAATTCTCACTTCTTTTATCCAGAACTCCAATCATGTCATAAACCTTCTAATTTAGCCTTTTTTTTCCTTTTTTTTTTCAAAAATATAAATTAACTGAGTAGCGACTCCAACCCTTCGCGAGGCTAGGGGCGGACGGTTCTCTTTCATTAGGCCAATTACGCCAGTAAGCCTAGTGCCTGCTGTTTCAATTTTCAAGTTATGAATTGCTCATAAGAGAATGGCTAGGACACCCTCTCTAATACCTTCTTTTAAACACTTTTTGTGAAATTGAATTCCATTTAGTCACATGAATAATAAATTTAATATAATTAATAGTTAGTAATTAACGTTAAAATTAACATTTTTAAAATTTAAAATTATAATCAATCATAATAAATTTATATGACACATCTCAACTATATAAAAAGTGTCCCAAAAAAATATTACAAAGAGTGTTCTTAGCATTCTTCTAACTCATAAACTATTGTATATAACAACGGACACAAATAAAGATTAAATCTCATTTTAGTCTCTCAATTTTGGTATTAAACTTTTTTTTTTATCAAAACTCACAAATTTTTTTTTTTTTTTTGGTTTCTAAAATTTATTCTTTTAACTTCTTTTTAGTCCCTCCATTGATTAAGTGATGACTGAGGTGTTGTTTTTTTATTAAAAATTTTATTTATTTTAATTTTTAATATTGACATAGAAACTAAAGTTGTCCATGTGTAAATTTTTTTAAAATTATTAAATGACAAGACAACTTAATTAACTAGCATGTACTCTCTCTCTCTCTTATTTTTTTTTTTTTTATCTTCGATTAACATCTACCTTAAAAACATGATTAAAGTACCATTAACAATCCGCATCTGATTTTTCGGGTCAACTGGCATCCTACCACCTTGAAGTGCATTCTCTCTCTCCCGAAACCCGCCCCTTGACAACTTGTTCAAAAAAAAAAACAAATACCATTAACAATTTTATAGAAAGAACTTACCATTAACAAAATAATTTTTATTAAAAGCTTAATGAAAAAAAATGCTAAAGAAGCATTGAAGGCCTTCTTCTTTCGTGAGGCCTTGTTCATTAGTTTTTCTTTCGTGAGGCCTTGTTCATTTCATTTTCAATCAAATAATCAAAATCAGCAAAAAAAAAAAAAAAAAAAAAAAAAAAAA